CGTACACACACACACACACACACACACACACACACACACACACACACACACACACACACACACGCAAACAAAACGCAACACCACACAGCACAATAATGAACCAACGCACCCACTTCACACACACACGCGCGCGCGCGAAAACGCACGCCTTCACCCAGCAAAGAACAACACAAGGCAATTACGTCGACTTGGTGGCGTCCTTGCCATTGTTGTTGTTGTTGTTGTTGTTGTTGTTGTTGTCTCAGTTGCAGTCTTGAATAAACGACTTGACAATGGAGCCGATATCAAGCGGAAACTCCTCGTACGAGCGCAGGGCCCCTCGGGTTTCAACAACACGCAGCTTGCTGTCGCCTGCCGCCACAGCTTCGTGGAGCGGCTGCAGGTCTGCGCGAGAGGTCTCTGGCGCACCATATCCCATGACTACAAGGGTGGGCACGCGGCATCCACCGCGAAGCAGCGCTGCAAGCTCGTCGCGGCTGGCGACAGGATCGGCCTTGCCCACCAGGAAGGCACACTTGCCCAGGATGGGGCCTTCCTTTGCGAATGCTTGGTTCCGTGTGATGACGTCGTCCGTGATGGCCTCCGGGTTCTCAAACACGTGCGAGTGAAGCTGCTTCTTGATGTGCTCCCGCGAGGTGAACATGTTGTGGATGGCATCTCCCACGTACGGGAGCTGGTACAGCTTCCAGATGGCCGAGCTTGCGTAGTCCAGCAGCATGCTCTCCCGCGTCTTGCCTTTGCTCTCCAAGTCGAATTTGACGGTTGGTAGTGGTCCTCGGAAGGTTGGATTGAGGAGGACGAGGCACGAGAACAGCTCAGGGTTTTGTTGGGCGGTGCGTAGCGCAGTGATGGCGGCGTGCCCGGTGGCCACCACCGCCACCCCCTTTGTCGACGGCGGCTGCAGTTGTGGTTGTTGTTGTTGTGGTGGTGGTGGTGGTGGTTGTTGTTGTTGCTGTTGTTGCTGTTGTTGTTGTTGTTGCTGTTGTTGTTGCTGTTGTTGCTGTTGTTGTTGTTGCTGTTGTTGCTGTTGCTGTTGCTGCTGTGAGGTGTTTCCACTGTTTGCATCTGCGGCCATTGCTTGGCCGTAGCGCGCCACCATGGTGGTGAGGCCGCTATCGATGAGCTGTGTGTTGTAGTGTGTGGGTCGGAGGGTTTGCTTGTTGAGGCCATAGGACGGAACCTCCGTGACGCCAAAGTTTGAAAAGGACGCCTCGGCCATGGGGAAGAAGATGGTACGTGAGGAAACGAAGCTTGGCGGCGCAATAAACAGGACTGGCTGTTGCAGGCGCGTGCCTGCAGCAGAGCCCTCTTCCGCTGGCAACGTAAACTGGTCCACCGTGAGGTCAAAGTACAGGTGGCTGAACCCGCCTGCTTGCAGGTTGTAGTCCGGCATTCTCGGCGCAGACCAGTCCACGGCGAAGCGCTGGTGGCTTGCCCGCGGGTGGCGTGCCAGGAACGCGTCTATCCGCGCCTCATGCTCGTTGAGCCGCTCGCGTTCCTCCTGCGCCTTGACCCCCGCATACACCACCGCCACCCCGCCACCAACAACACCAGCACCCAACAGCCGCAACAACACGCCCATCACGACACCACAAACCGCAGCGTGCACAGTCCAAACAAAAAATCGAAAAACGCGATGATTCTCCCGCTCACGTCATTCCTGGAAAATTATGTAAAATGCCACAAATTTTCTGTCTTCACCTTGCACGCCACATGCGCACAACATGAAAGCACAAAACAAGCAAACCAATCGCTGTGCTGCCTGCTGCGGCAGTGTGTCAGAGAACAACAGAACAACACCTCTGCTCGCGTGGCGAGCACGCGTGGCGCGCTTCGACCACAACAACAACAAAGAAAAAATTACATACACATGTATTTTTGTTGATTTGAGCAAGCGACAAAACAAGCACGAGCTTATTAAACTTGTGTTGCTGCAGTCAAGCGCCGACAGCGCGCGTGCCACTCGTCGACAACTTGCCAAGCACGTGACCACTCCTCAACTTCACGTCACTACGGCAGCAACGATTCAACTCCTACAGTAACGAATTCGACAGCGGCGCGAATGTGCGGCTGCGCCCAGGCGGCTTCTTCCTCCCCAGGTGAGGTGTTGGCGAGGCAGGTTGAAGGGATGGTGCTGGGGATTGGAAGGAGAGGCGGGTGAATTGTGAAGCAACTCGTGTAGGGAATCTCGTATCCTCTCGACAATGTGCCGTGCTTGTCCCTGTGTGTTGTCGTGTCACCTCCTTTTCTCTCGTCCACATTGGACAACTTTTATCGGCTCTCTCTGTCTATCTGTCTGTCTGTCTGTCTGTCTCTCTGTCTCTCTCTCTCTCTCTCTATCTCTCTCTGTCTCTCTCTGTCTCTCTCTATCTCTCTCTCTGTCTGTCTGTCTCTCTCTCTCTCTCTCTCTCTCTCTGTCTCTGTCTCTCTCTCTCTGTCTCTCTCTCTCTATCTCTCTCTCTCTCTCTCTCTCTCTCTGTCTCTGTCTCTCTCTCTCTGTCTCTCTCTCTCTATCTCTCTCTCTCTCTCTCTCTCTGTCTCTCTCTCTCTGTCTCTCTCTCTCTCTCTCTTCCCCCCTTCCTCCCCCACTTCCCCGCCATTACCTCACCCCACTCACATGCACACACGCAACATACGACGTCTGCTCCACCACTCTCCATCCACACACTCTTCATCCACACACATACTTCATAAGCGACATGACATGCGTTCTCCCTTCGACGTTTGGGGAAGAGCTTGGACAAGAGGAAGAAGATGAGGCTTTGGACTTGAGTACCGTCGACAATAGTCGTTGGGCTGTCGACAGTCGCAGCCCTCTCTTCCCTGGCCTCTCACCAGCTGTACTTCCTTCACCCATCACATCCAAAGATCCCAGCTGCCATCAACAGCAGCAACGACAGCAACACGTTCGCTTGGCGACGCACAATGCCGCCCCAATGCACCCGCCATCCCCCAGCTTCTCCTGTCTGTTCGACACTCGTCCATCCACACGAGGCAGCAAAAGCGTCCGCGCTCCAACGACTGCTCCTGCATGCCTCGCTTGCAGATCGACAAAACCCAAGCGCACGGCTTCCGCAGCCAAGGGCACTCTTCAATCTTCGCCACGCCCTTCCTTGCTCGGGCACAACGTTGTTCTTCCCAACAGGCGCAATAAGCGCCGTTACAACCGCATGCTCTGTGTCAAGGCCACGCCGGCGTCTTCACCATCGCCACTACCAGCACCACCAAGGCGCCCCCGCCCCTCGCACAAGCGACGGCGGCGACGACGGCGGCACCTTCTCAAGCCGTTGCTTCGACACAGCAACCATACGTGCACTTCCGACGCCGACGACGAAGCATCTGATGACGCTGAAGATTCCCACGACGCCCCGTTCACAGTCGCAAGCTGCACACCGCCTGGCACGAAGCAAGCACAAGCCCGTCCCACCGAAAGCGATGGGCTGCCCTCGCCCGTCGATGGTGGCCCGTCTTCAACCACAAACCATTCGACGACACACCAGCAGCCGACGACCAACCACGGAGCAGAACCCAACCACAACGGCAGCATCGACAGCGGCACCAAGCTTGGCAACACGCCAGCAGCGTCCCCCGCCTCTTCTTCGTCCTCGTCCTCTTCCTCAAACGAGGGCTCGAGTACCAGCAGCAGCAGCAGCGACAGCAGCAGCAGCAGCAGCAGCAACAGCAGCAGTAGCAGCAGCGACATCAGCGACATCAGCGACAGTAGCAACAGCAGCGACAGTAGCAACAGTAGCGACATCAGCGACAGTGACAATGACAATGATAGCAGCAGTCACAGCAGTGGGAGTAATAGCACGAGCAGCAGCTCGAACAGCTCGAGCTCAGAAGACAAGAGCGGCGGCGGCAGCAGCAGCAGCACCACCACCAGCAGCAGTGGCAGTAGCGACAGTGGCAGCAGCAGCAGTAGTAATCACAGTGGCAGCAGCACCAGCAGCAGCTCAGACAGCTCAAGCTCAGACATCAACGACAATAACGACAATAACAACAATACCAACAACAATAACAGCAACAACAGAACCACTACCACCACCATCACTAACAACAACAGCAACAGCAGCAGCAACAATAGCATCATCAGCATCAGCAGTGACAGCAGTCACAACAGCAGCAGTCATGGGGATGTGCAACATGTTGTCGCAGGTACTGGTGCCCCAACGTCTACACCGCCCAGCAGCAAGACCGACACGCTTCTTCGTGGGCACAGTCACAACTCTAGTCGCACCAACTTTAGCGTGCCACCCGTCCGAGGGACCCCGGACCAGGTGCTGACCGGAACAGCGCCCGCAATCAGCGTGAGCAGAGACGGTTCCTCCACTGCGCATGCTCAACGGGCGCAGTTGTCAAGCCAATCCATCTACATCACCTCATCTGTCTCATCCACCGCAGCTGCAGCATCTACAACAGCAGCGGTGTTGTCTGCTGCGTCTACAACACAATTCTCGCTCGCTCACCCCCCAGCCCACCACAACCAACTCCAGCAAAATCCTTTACCGTCACAGCAGCAACAACAACACCAGCACCAGCACCAACACCACCAGCAGCAGCAGCAACAGCACCAGCAGCACCAACAGCACCAACAGCAGCAACAGTGGCGGCGGCTTCGGTGGCAACAACAGTGGCGGCAGTGGCAACACGTGCAGCACCTACAATATCAACAGCAACAAAAGGAGGTTCGGGCCACCTTTCTACGGGACTACAGGGCTTGGCAGCAAGCGAGGCTTCGCCGTCGGCTTAAGCCACGTCGGCTGATTGCGCGCACGAGCGACGAGTCGATACCAGGTTCACCTAAAACCCCAAAATGCAAGAGAGGCACGTCACGCCTTCCCGACCTGAAGCGGCTGCCCCTGCTCCTGCAAGCATGTGCATTGCGTTTATCAGGCCCAAGCAGGCCACCGCAAGCGTTTCAGCGCTATCTTGAGCTCTCAGACCGCGCCTTTCGGCACACTGCAAAGGGCAGGGATGAGCAGATCCAAGTGGGCTCACAGAAGCGGAAGAAGCGGGGAGCGAAGCGGGGCAAAGCGAACAAGAGATGCAAACCCAACAGCAGGCGTGGTGGTGGTCATGATGATGGTGGTAGTGATGATGATGATGATGATGATGATGATGATGATGATGATGATGATGATGATGATGATGATGATGATGATGATGATGATGATGATGATGGTCATCGTGGTCGTAGGGACAGTCACGTTGGAGACATTTTTGACCCTACGGCTCCTTCTGCAGCCTCGGTCACGGCCACCACCGCCATCTCCAGCAAACACCACAACACCAATACTGATGGCCAGAACAGCGACAGCGGTGGTGATCGGAGCAGTGCTGCTCGTGACTGGCGCCACCCGACAGAACGCGAGCAGGCTCTGATGGACACGATTGCGAAAGACTGCCAGCTCACGTTGACATCGCGGCAAGTGGATTTCGACCAATCCGCGCGCTTACATGAGATGCAGCGGTTGAGGATTGAGGCATTCAGGCGATGGCACGAGGCAACCGTTGCAAACCCGGCCGCCCCTTGCTTTGCGCACGACAGCTGGGTGCAATCGCTCGCCTTGACAGATGCCCCTGAAAACGAGCGGACCCGAAACTTGACGCAGCTGCTTCAGCTGGTGTGGCTGAGGATACACACCGGCCAAGCCGCAATTCGCCGGCATGACCCGAGTGGGGACCACGTTCGCAAAGTGGATGGCATCATCACGTGCCTTCAGAAACTGCTTGCCAGAGCACGTGAAGGTGTGTGTGTGTTTTGTCTGCTGCATGTGATGTGTGTTGTGAGTGTGTTGTGTGCTTTGTCTGCTGCATGTGACGTGTGTTGTGAGTGTGTGTACATTAGCTGGTGATGTGTGGATGTGGAGACGCGCGCGTGTGTGTATTGTCACACGTTAATTAGCTGATCTCATCACATCTCTCATGCCTCCAAACACACACACACACACACACACACACACAACTGCGGGCCGAATCTTATGTTCTGTACACGCGAACAGTGCCTGTTCCACCTTCTGAGCACACGACAGACGGCGAGGGATTCTTTCTCTGCCATCAATGTGGCCTCTGGCGAGCAACAAAGAAAGCCACTGCGCCCATTTGCGCGCCATGCAGCTCCTTCACCTTCAAGCATTTCAAGCTCTTCCGGCAGAACTTTCCCGAGCTAACTCTGCTTCACGAATTGCCACTGTTCATTTGGGGTAAGTTGTCAGACGCCGTGCACCTGTATTGATTGTGCACACATACACGGTCGTGTACAATCGCGTAACAACACCCACCCTTCACACACACACACACCCTTCACACACACACACACACACACACACCCTTCACACACACACACACACACACACGCACACACACACACATACACACACACACCCTCTCTCCCGCACCCTTACTCTCACACCCTTGAACTCACACACACTCTGTCTCCACTTGCACGCAATTCCCGACACACACATACACTAACACACACGCTTGCGCTTTCTCTGTTTCGTTCTACAGACGCAATGTCTCGGTTTTACGAGCCTGGTGCGGTTGGGTGTCCCTGCCCCAGTGGCCCGTCTTGCGATTGTGCTTGCAGCCTGATCACGGACGCTTGCAGCGTTTGCCGATTTCTGCGCGGATTTGCAATCAGCATCATCTACAACTCATGGCCTGCGATGATGAGGCCTCTGTCACGCCCAGTGCGGCCGTTCACGACGAAAGATCTTGACGGCTTGGATCTTCGTGTGGTGTACAACCCGCACAGGGATGGAAAACCACCAGTCCTCAAGTCTTTACCCAAACAACGCGAATGGCATGCGGAGCGGTACCGCGAGAAGGCGCGTACAACGGCGCGCAGTGCAGAGGTTGATGATATACTGCAGCTGCTTTACATCATGAAAGGAGAGCCGCCGCCATCACCACCACCACCACCACCACCACCACAACAACAACAACAACAACAACAACAACAACAACAACAACAACAACAACAACAACAACAACAACAACAACAACAACAACAACAACAACAACAACAACAACAACAGCAGCAGCAGCAGCAGCAGCAGCGTCCCGAAAGGGGTCGTGTGTTGCTTGATGAAAACGTGGCAAACGCGCTGTTTGCCGGCGGAGGCTCTGCACCACCCCCAGTCTCTGGTACTTCCCCGGACGCCGCAAAAATTGCTACCTCAACAGCGGCTGCCACTGAACACGTTGCGGCCTCTGATGCGACGCCTGCTTCTGTTGAACAGGATGCTGACTCTTCGCTCGCGCCTCGCCACATCAATACGTTGCCGGCGTTTGTGCTTCCCAAGGGTCGGCGCCCGCCCTTGTGGAGTTCGGCAAACCACTCTTCGTCGACGCTGCCATCACGCTCGTGCACACGACAGCAGGGAACGACGCAGCTGCCGCCACCCGCAAGGAACCCGCCACAGTCGACACCAACCACACAAGCGCCAAGGATGCCAGCACCAACTACACAAGCGCCATGGATGCCAGCACCAACCACACAAGCGCCATGGATGCCAGCACCAACTACACAAGCGCCAAGGATGCCAGCACCAACTACACAAGCGCCATGGATGCCAGCGCCAACCACACAAGCGCCAAGGATGCCAGCACCAAACACGCGCCCGCCACAAGCGTTGCCAGCACCAACCACACAAGCCCCACATGCGTTGGTGTCTCCACAACAGGGCCCACTCGCACGTCAGCAGGTGCAGCCTCTTGTTGAACAGCAGCACGTGCTGGACATGCGCGAAGTGGAGAGGCAGCGCCAGTACCAGATTGAATTGGAGAAGCGGGGCAAGGAGAATTACAGGCGAGCGGTGTATTTCGATCAGGTGCGGAGGGGTCTAAAGGAAGCAAGCCTCGCGTTGAAGATCATACGACGGAGGAAGCGCGCATCGCGCACCAAGCAATCGCGTGAGCACCACCGGCACGCTGACTCCGCAGAAGCTGTCTTTATCGATGACGACGACGACGACGACGACGATGATGACGACGATGATGATACCGTCACAGACGAGGAGGGGGAGGATGGTTGCAAGGGTGATGACAATGACGAAGAGGAAGAAGAAGAAGAAGAAGAAGAAGAAGAAGAAGAAGAAGGGGAGAGTCATGACGATGACAGCAGCAGTGATGGTGATAGACAGGAAGGGAATGGAACCGGTGGCGGGCAAGAGCACGTGTCGCGACGGTTGCACTTGGCATTTGATGATCTGCCCCCTAACCAGGAGAGACCGCACATGCGGCTACTGAACCTGTGGTTGAAGCACGTGCTTGTCGAGCAGCAGCGCTACGTTCGAGGTGAGAAGAAGCTGCTGAGGGAGACCCTGAAGGACATTGTACGGAGCAAAGGTCGACTGCGCCAAGTGCGAGCGCAGCACCAGGAGTTACTCAAGGAACGCCGGGCAGCGTATGAGCGGCTCCGGCACATCAGAAACGTGTTATTCTACCGGAACCAACTGTTCAAGGGCAGGAGTGATGATGGTGATGATTCAGAGCAGGGACGAGCAGCATCGCAGCCGCAGAGCGCACAGCAACAAACACAAGCACAACAAGAACAGCCGGAGAACCCACCGCAGCAGCAACAGCAACAACAACAACAACAACAACAACAACAACAACAACAACAACAACAACAACAACAACAACAACAACAACAACAACAGCAGCAGCAGCAGCATCTGCTACCACATGATTTTCAGCCATGTCCGCGCTATCCCCTTCAGCAAGAGCAACAACAGCAGCAACAGCGCCAATATCGACAACAAGTTGGCGGGATTCTCGAGCGCTTGAGAAGACACACGCTGCCGCCCCCATACCAGGAGCAGCTGCAAGCGATACTCCACTTTTGGGCTCACAATCCACAGCTGACCCTGCACCACCAAAGTCAGGTTCAAGCGATGCTTCTGTTCTTGAATCAACAGGAGAAGCAGGAAAGACAACCGCAGCAGAAGCAGCAGCAGAAGTAGGAGGAGCCAGCAACAGAACAGCCTTCACAAGGGAGCTCGTGACTGCATGGCCAGGCATGGCGTTGCTTCTCGGCCTTCCTTTTGTGTGTCTGTTCGGCATGTCTGTGCCGATTCGCTTCACGAACACTCAACATGTAACAGATCATCAAAGCCAAGCTCACGTGAAGCAATAAACGAAGTCCCTCAGTCCAACCCATGTGAGTCCAACCCATGTGGCTCAACGACAAATGTAAACACAGTATTTGTTTGTTTATTGGAGGGCGAGAACGGTTGCAGACAACAAGTCAACGCAGATCACTTGTGTGCTGGTCACCGACAGGTGCAGCTGTCACGAAACAGAGAAGCGTCGTGGGGAACACGACAAAAGTGTCACACAACGAGCGGGGGTGAAACAGCAACACTCGACATCACGCGAGGGAAACAAAACAGCCTTCGCAAACGGTGTGCATGAGAGTGTGTGTGTGTCTGTGTGTGTGACGAGGTGCTTGGACACGTCAGCGATTACTGCTTGGTGGCGGCGCCCCACATGTCGAAGTTGCGGCAGAGCTCAGGCTTGGCGTCGCGTGCAGGAGGCCATGCACCACCAGCCATCACGCTCTCAAGCTAATAAGAGACGGAGGCGAAGGGGGGGGGGGACAGAGCGAGCGTTGGTTTAAGCAGGGAAACCAGGGGAGTATGGTGGGAGAGGTGGTGAGGTGTGTTCTGAAATGCAAACATGTAGATCTCACAACCACAATGACCATATCCACGCTGTTAACACACACACACACACACTTATTGACACATTGACACACACAACGTGCACACACACGCACACACTTACCTCCTCGATGGTGCGTGGGACGGAGGACATGTTGTCGATGCCCGTGGCGGTGACGATGACGTTGTCCTCAAGGCGAACACCACCCCATCCGCGGAACTAAAGCCAGCACCCAATTGAAGAACAAGTGAGGCGGATGGCGAGGCTTACACACACGTGGCACACACACGTGGCACACACACACACACACACACACACACACACACACACACACAACACACACACACGCACACACACACACACACACACACACGCATATGCATACACATATCAGCAAAGGGCCCGACCTGGTTGAGGCGCTCGACGTTGACAAACTTGCTGAGTGTCGGGTCGGCGATGATCTTGTCCATCTCGGAATCAATGAAGTACATGCCGGGCTCAACTGTCAGCACCATGTTCTGTTCGGACGCCGTGGGTTAGCAAGGAGTGCGCACACGTTAGCCATTCGCGCAGGTGCAGACACGTGCGTGTACGAGAGATTGCGTCGAGCAAAGCAAACCCAAGCCAACAAAAACACAAATTAACGTCACGTTGTGCAATGTTTTGTTACAGGCCACTCGCACTGCCGTACCTCCTTCAGTTCGCGGGCTGTACGAACACTGCGGAGGCCAGGCTTGTCAATGCGCTCAGGGTACCCTGTGATCCGAGGAAGGAGCACGCGGATAAAGCCAACAATTTAACAAGCACATCAACGAATTGATATCAAAAATCAACATACACATCGAGAAACACATCAATACACAATCTATCACCAATACGCAATCAATCATCAATACGTAATCAATCAGCCAAACAAGCGTCAACTTGTCTGCCTGCGCGGGCACAAGACGGCGCACGCATGCAGGCATTGCACAACGGGTGTAAGAACCTGGGAGGTAGCCGCCAACGTCGTGGGTGTCGATGCCCATGAAGTGACCGAGGCCGTGCGGCATGAAGTACCCGCCAAGGTACACCTTCATCATCTCCTCAATGTCGCCGTGCAGCACGCCCAGCTGCAGCAGCAACGCACGCCAGCACGAGCACACAATCATGGCATGAGCACACGCAACAGCAAAGGCGGTTAGAAAAATATGTGTGTGTGTGTGTGTGTGTGTGTGTGTGTGTGTGTGTGTGTGTGTGTGTGTGTGTGTGTGTGTGTGTGCGAATACGGGTGACGGCCACGGCCGCTTGTCCACAAGGCACAGCACCTCAATGAGGGCCTCGAGGATGCGGCGGGACGCGAGAATCTGCATGTCCGTCCACACGACACCAGGCTTCATGGCCTGCTCCACGCTCGTCACTGGCGTGGGCGAGCAACGATTGGCCAAGCGGCAGCCACGGGTGACACACATGGCGGTGAGAAACACATTACAAATCAGCCATAACGCACCAGCACCAGCACCAGCACCAGCAGCAGATGTGCACAGTTGTGTGCTTTGCAAGCAGGAGTTACACGGTATGTTGGGGTGCGTCCAAGCCACAGTGCGAGTTGGTATGCTGCTGTACTCACTGGCGTTGAGGACACCCTGGTAGACAATCTTCTGTTCCTCGGTGAACTTTCCGTTTGCCGGGTAGGAGGTGGTGATGTCACCAGCATAGCAGTGGTACTCGCCACCCATGTCAAGCAGCATGATGTCGCCATCCTGCACACACACACACACACACCACCAGCCGTAGCAAGAGGAGCAAATGTAAGACGCGCACACACACACACACACGCACGTACGCACGTACACACGAACAAGAGTGCGAGCAACAGAAACAGAGGGAGAGCAGAGGATGTGGGTGCGGACCTTGATCTCACGGTCGTTGGGGGCGCCGGCGTGGCCGTAGTGCAGGACAGCAGCGTTGGGCCCGCTGGCACAGATGGGCGTGTACGCAGTGCGGCGGCAGCCACCATGCATGTACACGTGGAACTTGAAAATGGCCTCGAGTTGATACTAACAGTGGCGATGCAGGAACGTGCGTTGGTGTGCGTGCGTGTGTGTGCATGTGCGGATGGCGCGTGTTGTGAGCACTAACAAGTGACGAGTGTGTGCACACATGACGTCTGTGCAAGGGAACAAGCAAGCACGTGTGGAGAGCACGTTGCCGTGTGCGTGGACCAGGTGCTTCATCAGGTGTGCAGCGTACCTCGTACATGCCGGGCTTGATCTGGCGCATGGCTTCGACGTGGCCCTCAGAGGTCATCTGGCACCAATGCAGCAAGGCAACAACAGCGCGTCAGGACGAAGAATGGAGAGATCGCCACAGCACAAGGCAAGCAAACGCAATGCCAGTTTGGGAGTGTGTGCTGTCGACCTGGTTGACGAAGCGAAGGACATCAAGCTCCTCCTTGGTCTTGAACACACGCAGGTCCGCAATCACAGGGTGCAGCGTGTCCTTGTCAACCGTGAACTTGTCCATGCCCTCAAACGACGCCGGCTTCGAGTAAGCGCCGCTGTTGTCAGTTGTTGTGGAAGCAATGACCAAAAAGTGAGTGTTTCGAGCGCAGCAGGAAGATCGCGGCCTGCTAAGCTCCGACACACACTCACTCGCACACACACACACACTCACTCGCACACACACACACACACACACACACACACCACACCACACGTTCGGAGAGGAGAACAAACCTGTCCGTGTTCTTGCCGTAGAGGACGTGCACGGTCTTGGAGGCGTAGTTGTCTTGCATGACCTGATCGCAGTGAAGAGTGGTCACACAGGCAAACACAGTGAGGGAGGGCTTGCAACTTGTGTCATGACATGCACCGCTGCATCAAGCACAGACATGAATCGGCTGCAAGGGGAAAGACATTCGTTTGTGTATTTCACTCCTTTGATTGCAGGCGAGAGATGGATGTCCTCACCTTTGGGATCTCATCGACGTAGTACGCCTCGTCCACACCGTACTTCTTGGCAAACGTGCTTGGCGGCTCAATCTGAAACGACAGCAGCAGTTGTCACAGTAATGGTAGTGGTTGTGGTGATTTTTGGTGGCGGTGGATGTCAATGAATGGTTCAAGGAGACAAGAAGCAGGCAAGCAGGGGCAGGAGGAGCCGGAAGAATGCGCGGGTGCGTGAGAGAACACACAACAAGCGAGCATGTGATGAGCGTGCACTCTGTCTGACCTTGCCCATCCACACGGCGTAGGCCTCAGGGAGACGTGGGATGAAAAGAATGCTCTTCTTGGTGTCAATGTCAATGGCGCCAGCAGTGCCGGCCTCAGCGCATCCGAACGCCCTGTTGTAGTTGCGGCAACACGACACAGCTTAGAAGCAACTCACTAGACGCGTTTGTTTGACGGGTGTTTGACAGGCTGGGGCGAACTGCCTCAGAAAGTGGTACTCTGCTCAAGTTATAAGCACACCAGCTTAACCCCCCACTATTCAAGCACAAGTCACACGCGTTGCTCCATACCAGTGGAAGTAAGACTCTTGGCGGAAGAGGGGCTCGTGGTCCGTATCATTGCGGCACGCCTGTGCAGTTGGAAAGTGAAACGACACAATCACAGAACGTGAGGTGGAACCGGGATCATGCAGATGCGCTTGAGCATGGCGACATGCTTTGAGCATGAGCGGATGCACAAGGCACTGTGTGTGTGTGTTGTGTGTGTGTGTGTGTGTGTGTGTGTGTGTGTGTGTGTGTGTGTGTG